TACATAGTGTGTACTGATCCATACATAGTGTGTACTGATCCATACATAGTGTGTACTGATCCATACATAGTGTGTACTGAATGGTTCTATACAGATACATGTTGCACCCCTACAATATTTGTTCAATATGATGATTAAAGTTGGTTTGTTGAAGAAACATGAAATATTTTATCCAGATGAATTGTTGTTTGAGAAAGATTTGATATTTTTGTTTAATTTAGGTTTTTGTAAATTACTATCATTTGAATTTATTCTTGGGGGAAAAGAGGCAGATACAGTATAAGATATTTTTTCTTCTTTCTCCTGCCTTTCATTTTATTTGTGATTTGTATTTTTTTCCTTCTTTTGTTTATAGAATTTTGTTTTAATGAAATGAATAAATCTAATAAATGAATAAGTGAGACAGAAGTAAAGGAGGCAGCTGCACTGAGTCAGAAGACAACCATGTTCTTGAAGATGTTTCACTTCTCATCTGAGAAGTTTTCTCAACCTTAAACTGGAAAAAACAAGTTTCATCTGGTTTCTTCAGTTCATCTTACTGGGATTATCTGGTCCAGCAGCTGGACAGCTGGTTTGGGATCAGGGCTGCAGGGAGCTGGTTTCTCCTGCACGTATAGGGTGAGGAGTTTATATGTGGTTGTGACAGGAGGACTCTTACAGGCAAGCTTTTGGAGAGAAAACTCCACATAAAACCAACCCCAGGCAGGCAGGAGGTGAACCTGGGACGCTGCTCCACCGTGTGGGACAGTAAGGAGATCTACATCCTCCTAACTGGGAGGAATCTTTGATTTGTGGGAAACAATCAAAGTCAGAAAATCTTATGAAGATATAAGAATAAATTAGTGACACATCCAGTCATAAATAAACTAATGTGAGATTAAACAACTTCTTGGTCAGGGTCAGTGATGTTGCTGTTTTCAGCAGATCCCTAAATATTTCAGGATTGTAAAAAAAAATTTGCACAAAGGATTCCCTGCTTTCCCTTCTTGCTCCACACTGAGCTTCTGTTAGGATTCTACGCACTGCTGGACCTCTGGAGCGTGGTTACACCGATTATCTTCCTCATTCCCAGGATGTTACACACAAACAGGAGCTCCAGATGCTGGGAAAGTAGCTAACATCAACTTCCTGAGTGGGTTTGAGTTCAGGCTGAAAGCAGAAATTTCCTAAACTGTAGATGTTGAGTTAAAATCTAAACATCATCTCTAATCAACCAAAAGCTTCATGACTTCATCCTCTGCACTGAGCTGATTACATTTGGGAAAAAGGTGCAGAACAAAGAAGCTTTGAACATTATTTTAGTGAGGTAATAAAAATATAAGCAGTCAAAACATCAAACAGCATCAAAGATCAGCCCAGATTTCAGTAAAAACAGCTCTGAAACAAATCCAGAAGCATCAGTAAAGACCTGAGATCTGAGTCCAATTCACCACTGAGGTCCAACAGAACCAGCTTTCATCAGTCTGTCTTTAAAGAAAAACAACGTTCCGAGCACAGCTCACCTCCTTCAGCAGCTCTCGGCTCTGAGAGTAGTTGTCCTTGTCTGAGAAGATCTCCGCCAGCTCCTCGTACCTCCTCAGGGCCTCCCTGTCAGGAGACCACATCAGCTTCACGAGGGTTCCTCGTCCAGTCGCTCACAACCAGAAGCACAAACTCACCTGTCCGTTTCCTGCCACGTCCTCCTCAGCCTGTGGATGGGGTTACTCTGCAGCGCCGACACGATGGAATACAGAGACGAGAAGTTCTTTCTGGCTCGGCACTCCTGTTCAGACGCAGAGGGCTATAAAATACTTGAAAAAATAACTAAGTAAAAGTAAAATTACATGAATAGAAAATGACTTTGGTAAAAATAAATTTCACTGATGAGAAAACTACTCAAGTAAAAGTCATAAAACTGTTCACAAAAATTGGGAAAGTAAAAGGTACTTTTACACACACTCTAAGAAATAAACTGTTGAATTTACTGAAACAAACTGGTTGAGTAAATTGAGCAAAATATGTATTATTTTATCAATTTACTCAGCTTAGGCTTAGTGGAGCCAGCTGACATGACTTTGTTGAGTAAATTCAACACTTCATGTTTTAGAGTGCAGAAATGTTTTTTTTTCATGATGAGTTCAAACATTTTTAATTTTGTAACAAGTAACTAGGTGTTACATTTTAAAGTAAAGAAGTAAAAGTATCACTTTTAGCTTTAAAATGTAACAAAATAAAAGTAAAAAGTAACTGTTTAAAAAATAATTAGTAAAATTACAAATCCTCAAACAAATCTACTTAAGTACTGTAACAAAATAAATGTACTTATTTACTATAAACCTCTGTTCAAACAGCAGATAAATAGATTTATGATCTGATCTGATCTAATCTGATCTAATCTAATCTAATCTAATCTAATCTAATCTAATCTAATCTAAAACACTGTTGTCTTCCTAAATGTGTATTAAATTGACCACGAACGACAGTTTTGTTTTTTACACTTTAAAGTTAAAAAAGACCAAAATGTGGTTTAACTCATGAGACTACAGTTTAGATRATCAGAATTCCAACAAAAAAAAAAAAACACAGCAGAAAAACAAGAATTTGAGGCGAGTCTTTGCTGTCAGCTCTTAAATATTTTAAAAGAAGTCAGTTGCTGCAAAATAACAGATCCAAACCAGTTTCTCTTTATCTGAAGGTCAGGGGATGTTTTTCTGACCCAGAATTGGTCTCACCATTCTGCACCTGACAGTTTTTCTTACTTTTATATATAAAAAACTGATTTTAAAAAGCCTCTTTTCAGTTTTGCTGCAAAACCTCAAATATTCTTTGATGCCTTCAATGTTTTTTTAACAGAAAGGAAGAATAAATGAAGCTTTCCACTTGGCTGCACTCTGCTCTCAGATGACTGGAGGGGAATTAGCGTTATGTGCATCCTGAGTTGATCCTGAAAGCCTAAAACCCCCGACTGACAAACATCCGACATGTTTCTATAAAAACGAGTCATTTAATGAGTTTGTGAGTGCGGCTGACCTCGGCCACGCTGATCCATTTCTCCAGCAGCCGCGCTCTCTGCTGGCTGCGCAGCTTCGTGGGCCACAGGCACGACGCCAGCACGGCGTTGGCCAGCCTGTTAAACTGCCGTACGGTGGCTCGGACCGACCAGCACACGCCTTCCCTGCCCTTCTTGTCCCGCTGGGACCACAGCGAGCCCAGGCAGTGGTACGGGACCAGGCGGACAAACAGCTCCTGGAACACAGAGCGCTGAATAAAACAAACGGACCGATCGAATGGTGTGAGCTGAACTGAGACTCTTTCATTTCCTGCTGACAGACAGCCTCTGCTGGGGGCAGTTTGTCTTTAATCCTGAAAAACTGAAGCAGGCAGACGAGAAAATACTACTAAAAAATCTAAAGAGATGAATTTTGCTTTTATTTATTGCAATAAATGGAGAAAAACATAAAGTCTAAACATAAAGTTAAACTGACTGGAATCAACACTCCATGCATTTTGTACCTAAATATTAGAATAAACCAAAAGTTGAATTTATGCTTTTTAAAATATTATTATTTTTAAGTGAACTCACTGTTTCTATCTTTGTGAGCTGCTCTGCCACCACAGATGCAGAAAACCCCAGGATGTTGGTGGGTTCAAACTTGGAGGGATCAGGAGGGGGGCTGGAAAAACTGCTCTGATCTGCAGAGAGACGACAAACTCGTTGAAATATATAAAAATAAACTATTTGTAGCCCTAAAAGCAATCATTTAGTTCAGTTACTTAAAGGGTCAGGGGCACCAAGAGTAAAATCAAATGTAAAAAAATGTGACTAACACATTTTTCATTACTTACAGTAGCTCACTTTTTCAGTGTTAAAGATTTTCCACTAACATTTTAATGTTATTTAGCTCACTGTTCTTACATTTAGCTCATTGTTGCTAAATGTTAAATTTAAATGTTAAAAAATATATTTAAATATTGAATCCTGAATCTAAATGTTTAAATCTAGATGTAAAAGTTAAACCTTAAATGTTGAAGTTAAATGTTGAAGTTCACATTCAGGTATTTTGAAATGGAACGCAGCCTTTTCTGTTGGTGCTCGGCTCATGCTATGATGTCATCATCCTGAGACAATAGCAACCGCTAGCTCCGATGCAGCTAAAGCTTCACTGCAAGACATCAAACTTGCAGTTCTGGCTGGTGTCTGAGCTGCACTTCAAACTGCTGGACCACAGGGACCACCCAGACTGTTTTCATGAACACATCATTTTGAATTTAGATTTTAAATATTATCTTTAGCAGTGTTAGCGGTTGCTAGCAGCAGCCATTGTTGTTTGTCACGGGATGATGACATCATCCTGGTTATCTGACCCTAACCTCTGCTAATGCTTCTAACATTGCTAAATATTAAAAAACCTAAACTCAAAATGTGTTCATTAAAAACAATATGGGTGGTCCCTGTGGTCCAGCAGTGGTGTCCACCTGTGGTTGCTATTGTCTCAGAATGATGACATCATAACACCAGCTGAGCAGCAAAGGCTGCGTTCCATTCCAAAATACCTAAAAGTGAACTTCAACATTTAAGGTTTAACCTTTACATTAAGATTTAAACATTTAGATTCAGGATTTAATATTTAAATATATTTTTTAACATTGAAATTTAACACTTAGTAAAAATTAACTAAATGTAAGAAAAGTGAGCTAAATAATGAAAAATATGTTAGTGACATTTTTTAAACATTTTATTATAAAACTTGGTGCCCCATAAAAGGGAACATCCTTCTTTGTGATAATAAAACTGTTTTTGTTGCAGATCAATAAATAAACTAATTAAAATAACTTTTTCATGTGGAGGATGAACCTTTTGCTTTAGCTGTCTGCCTGAATTAAAGGTTAGATTATAGATTTAAAGCAATTAACAGGCATTACTGTAATAATGTCTCTAAATTTAAATAAAAATGTTCAAATATTTTTTACATCATGGAATTGATTAAGTAGAAATGTTTAAAAGCACAAACACAAAAGGATCATCATCGTTTTGACGTGAGGATGAAGCAGTTTAAAAGCCAAACCTCTGTGTGCGTCGGGGAGCAGAGCTTTCTCACTCAGCTCCTCCGCCGTCCTGAGGAGTCGAGCGCGGAGGTCTGCTGCAGACGTGGAGTCCTGAGGGAGGAGGGGGGCCAAACGCAGCAGGCGGCTCGGCTCCCTGAGACCCCCGAAGTCCTCGGGGTACTCCGACAGCCAGGTGCTGAAGACGGAGCACACTGCTCTGCAGGAGCAGGTGCAGAGGATTAAAGGAGCTCCCAGCGTCGAGCTAATCTGACGGTCTTTTTGTGTGGTAGTAGCTGAGACTGATCCAAATAAAATCATGCTTTCTATTTGTTTAAACCTTCCTGCAGCTTTCTCTGCTTCACCTGATTTGAATGAACCAACATTAAATTAACAGGTTCATTAAGAGACTTCTGCAGAACTTAAAGAGCAGGCAGGATGCATTTTTAAATCACAGCAAAAACTTCCAGAGAAACGCAGGTTTATATTTTCAAAAACTCACTTATTGAAGGATTGTCTCATCTGGCTTTTTTCACTGTCCCCAGGCGGGTTCTCTAATCTGTCAAAGAGCAGATACAAGCTTTAAAGCATCATTCAGACATAAATGTACATTTTTTTAATGTTTTATGTAAACGGTGATCAAATGTTTAAGGATTTTTTTGACTGAGAGTCTCTAAAAAAAAACACAATTCAGATGTCATTTTAAAGCAGCATAAATTCATCTGGACAGTACCGAGCAGGAGAGCAAAGTGAAAGAGAAACCTGACACCTGCTCACCTGTGAAAATTTCAAATTAGCTGCAGAGTGCATTATTCAGCCAGGCTGGTAACACCATGACTCGATCAGTTAGAAAGTTCAACCCCTTCCAGATGGAAATATCTCCCCGACGTGACAGATTCCCATGACATTTACACAAATCCATTGTTGTGCAACAACAAATATTTGAATATGTTGATGCAGTTCCCCCTGAGTGTCCAAGATTTCACAAACATCTGAGTGAATCGTCACAAAACAGAATTTATTTCACTCTAAACAGGCTCACGTCTCTCACCGCTCCTCCTAAAATCCATGCAGAATTAAAAAGATCATTTAGATTTTAGTCCACCTTGTCCTGCACACAACAGGAAACTGCAGCCAGCTGTAGCTGACGTGCGACAGGAAGTGCTTCGTAAATGGTTTACAGCGTTCCTACCCGAGAAAAATCACACCGGCTCTCACCTGTCAATCAGGATGTCCAGCACTCTCTCAGTGGAGGTGAAGGATCGGTAGGTGGACAGGAAGATGGAGATGAAGGAGGAGTCCCCCATAGAGAAGGAGTGCAGGAGGTGGAGCACCAGCTTCTCCTCTGTCCCCGCTTTCACACACTGAGATCGAGTCACGGTGGACTGGAAAACACAGAAACAAAGAAGCTCCGGTTGTTTTCAGGCCCCTCAGACAGAGCGGGGAGTTCTAACGGCTGACTCACCATGGAACTGTTGGGAGCAACGTTATGCTGTTTGACCACCACCGTGTAGATGACTCCATCCTCCTCCTCCTCCACCACCGTGGACTGAAACACACAGAGTGTCAGGAAGACTTCTGCTGACTCAGCATCTCTCAAATCTAATTTTAAGTTATGGCTGCTGCTTTGTTAATGGCTTTTAGCTGCTGTTTCACTAATGTCAGCATTAAACAGCTGTTCTGCTAATTTTAGGTTTTAGCTATTGTTTCATTAAATTTAGCTTTTGGCTAGTTCTTTGTAAGTTTTTGTTTTAAACTACTGATTTTAGGATTTACATAGTGTTTTCCTAGTTTAAGTTTTCAGCTACTGCTGTTTCCTATTTTTAAAATTATGCTACTGTATTTTTAGGTTTAGCTTTTAGCTACATTCAAGTTTTAGCTAATTTTCTGCTAATTTGATCTTTTACCTGTTTCACTAAATTTATATTATAGTTATTTTTGTGCAAATTTTAAGTTATACAGTAGCTACTGCTCTGTTAACAGATTTTAGTGGCCGTTTCACTTGTGTCAACATTAAATTGTTTTGCTAATTTTAGGTTTTAGCTACTGGTTTGCAATCTTTTGTTAATAGCTACTGTTTTGTTAAATTTAGCTTTTGGCTAGTAGTTTGCAAGTTTTGACCAGATTTAACTACTGATTTTAGAATTTACATAATGTTTTGCTTGTTTATATTTTCTGCTACTGTTGTGCTAATTTTAAATTAAGGCTATTGTATTTCTAAGTTTAGCTTTTTTCAGGTTTTAGCTAATTTAGAGCTAACTTAATATTTTAGCTGCTGTTCAGCTAATTTTAGATTATGGTACAAATTTTAGGTTTTAGCTACTGTTAATTGTAGCTTTCAGCTAGTATTTTGTCAGTTTTAACTTACCGTATTTATTTGTGTATAATACGATCTCATGTATAATACGATCTCATGTATAATACGATCTCATGTATAATACGATCTCATGTATAATATGATCTCATGTATAATATGATCTCATGTATAATACGACCCCCCTTTTCTGAGCTTAAAAAGCATAAAAAATTTAATCCTCAAACTACCTCCAATTTCATACAGACTTCAAGATTTTTCAGCCTTTGCAGTCTTTATACATATCAGTAAAATGATCATTGCACTGTTCATTTTATTTTAACAACATATGTATTAAAAGGTATTTTGACAAGAAATATATATCAGCTGTAGCAGCATCATATGAATTCTGGCATTTTACACATAGTCCACCAGGAGGCGCCAACACAAATGTCAGAGGCTGTGTCCAAAACGGCAGGCCGGGTCCTCCGAAGGCCGAATTTGTCGGCCGCATTCGTCACAGCCCCGCGACGAAGGACGTCCAAAACCGAAGACTCCTCTGATGCGGCCGACAAATATGTCCTTCCTTTGGCCCGAATCGAAGGACAGGTCTGATGGATCCTTCCCGGTCCAGCGTTTCACCCTCTGGTGGGAAAACTTTTTTCAGGGATACAAACTTTTTCAGAACACCGGTAGACGGCAGCCATTACAGACGAACATGTGTTTGTTGTTGTTCGAGGAGCGGACCGGTCACACGCTAATGTCATTAGTTCGTTATCATTACTAAGGTGCAAGACTGCTTCCCCCCCCTTATCACATCATGTCACCTGCCTGGATCTGTTATTATCTCGCTCTGAAGCACAGAGGCGTGTCAGAGGTAAGCTCGTTTCAACTGCTTTTTATGACGCGGTCTCATTTCCGGACTCAATTTTGTGAATGAAGCCGATATTTCAGTTAAAATACTTAAGTAAAAATATTTATCAGAGTATAATACTACCCCCCAACTTTGTGGATGATTTTATGGTTTTAATTTTACGTATTAAACTTGAATAAATATGGTAGTTGCTGTTTTACTAATGTCAGCTTTAACCAAACTGTTGCTCTAATTTTAGATTTTAACTACTGTTTTGCTGATTTAATGTTTCAGCTACTGCTGTGCTAAGTTTAAATTTAAGCTACTATTTTTCTAAATTTAACATTTAGGTTTCTGTTTAGCTAAGTTCAGGTTTTAGCTCATTTTGTGCTAGTTTGATCTTTTAGCTGGTGCTTATAGTTAATTTAAGATTACAATTATTGTGCTAATTTTAGGTTAAAACTGTTGATTTGAGCTTTCAGTTAGTATTTTGGAAGTTTTATGTTTAAGCTAATGTTTTTTGATTTTAGGATTTAAGCATATTGTGCTAATTTTATACTTCAGCTTATGTTTAGCTATTTATTTTGTATATATTTAGGCTACCATTTTGCTAAGTTTATAGCTTTTAGGTACTTTTTATGTTTGTAGCTACTGTTTTGGTCATTTTAGTTAGCTTTTGGCTATTTTTAGCTGTTAGCTACTATCAACCATGTCCGGTTTAGTTGTTTTTTCTGGTGACAGAGTGAGGAGCCCCACGTGTTTAAAACAACACACGAAACGCTGTTTGAGCTCATTTCCTTCATGCGGTTCAAACGATCCTGTTTTAGCCTCAGGAAACGTTGCTGACACAGTTTCCCCATTTTGCTGCACTGCGAGTTCACAGACTTGTTGCAGAGACTAATCCTGTTCTCCTCACCAGGTCCAGAGGACAGTACCAGGTAGTCTTCATCGGTGAGGGCTCTGCCTGAGGAAGAGACACACAAAAACAAAACAAGAGTTTAAAATAAAACCATCTGCAGTTATAAATGATGCAGTCTGGGGGCGGGGCTTCGGTGCTTTAGAATTGTAAGTTTTTAAGAAAGGATCAAACAAACTGGATGTTTCTGCAGGACTGAGCTTTGATGACAGGAATGATTAAACCATTAGAGAAGAAAGTTGATGTCGGCACGCTTAAACCTTTATTAAGAAACTTTCCTGTGCTTCTTTTACTTGTTGATTCAAACCAGCCAATTCAACACTTATTAAAACACTCCAAAAACAAACAAAGACCCACCCTGGTGCGAGTTTCATCTCACAGAGAACCCCTCTAACCATCTACAGTCCAGTACGTTGGACACACCGGAGGTTTCGCTCTTATCAAAGCGACGCACACAGCAGAAACGGCAGATGAGTCACTTTTAGAGAAAAGAAGTGAGACATTTCTCTCCACAGACATTTGAATCCTGTCAAAACAGAATGAGCTCAGAGGCAGATGACCTGTGAGTCTACATCAGCCGAAGGAGCCGTGCCGCACAAAGTTTATCTGACAGACAGCAACAAGATGCTTTACAGAGAATTAAACATCTATTCTGGTTTAAACTGCAGCTGAGGCCTGAACCAGGGCTGTAACTGAAGATTTCTTCTTTTCTATTCTGCCTCAGCAGGAAGCAACAGCATCATTAAATCACTAAAGAGCCTAAATGCACTTAGATCAGCAGTTATTTGATGGTGCTACACATAAAATATTCAGCTTTTTCACACTGAGTACTTTTATGTTGGTGCTGGTTTACGCTCTTTGCTAAATGGCAGCCTTTTCTCTAGTATTTTCCCTAATTTTCAAAATAAAAGACCTGTGGAGCGTGTTGAAAGTGACAGTTGGTTCTAATCCTGCACTGACGAAGGGTGGGGCCGCTCTATCTTTTGACCCTAACTAGAGTTTAACACCGTTTAAAATATCACTTCACTATGTAACACTTTTATTCTTAGAGACACACGAGCGAAATGCTTCCTCGCTGCAATCCACAGACCGCACCGAACTGATCTGACTGTGAGTCAATACGTTTTAATCTCCACGACACGAAGGCAACACCTTGGAGACATACTGAGGAAAACAAAAACACAACGTTCTCTGGAAACTTTTGGCTCGTTTTTTTTTTAAGACAAAACTTCATCTCCATCACCTGTTTCACTCGTTGTAATTGAACTCTTGGGGAAAAAGCTAAAAAATGCAGAACGAGCTGAGACACATGCTGAAAGCAGCTGAAGTTGTGTGCCATCTCAGTGGTGCAACAACTGTGTGAGCGTTGCTTCAGTTCATTCACCTCATTCTGTTGTTTTCCTGGTTTTTTTTTTCTTTTCCACAGTTTTTAGAATCTAAACACTTCTGCAGACTTTGTGCTATTTCAGTTGTTCTTTAGCTCATTCAGGAAACAGCTGCTGTGACCTTTGGTTTTTCTAACATTTATACTTTTTCAAATATTCAACTTTGTTTATAAAGAACGTCTACTTAAAATACTTTAAGATCTTTGTAATTTCCTCTTTTTTAACATCTGCTTTAGCAAACTGGGCCTATTTTTCTCTTCTGGTTTTTAGCCAATATGATTTTATTCAGTTTTCTGTTACTTTTAGCTTATAGATAGACTTTTGCTGGTTTTAGCTTTCTTTTGACTGGTTCTATTGTTTCTCTCCTTTTAACTACATTTTGCTATATTTTGTTTTTATTTAGCTTTTTTATTCTTTCAGCTTTTAGGTGACATTTTGCTACATTTGCTTTGTTTAGCTTTTGCTGCTATTAGCTTTCATTTGACTATTTTTAGCTTGTAGTTACTGTTTCTCTCCTATAGCCTTTACCTAAATTTAGCTACTTTTAGATTTTATTTAGGCTTTTTTTATTCTTTCAGCTTTTAGGAGACATTTTGCTGCATTAGTTTTGCTCTGCTTTAGTTTCAACAGCTTTGTTTTAGCTTCTTTAGCAGGTTTTATTTAAGTCTTACAGCAGTCATTTTTATAAAAAATTCATTTTCTCTGGTGCAAGATCCTCCAGCTTCTGTTATTTTTTCTCTTTAGTTACCTTCAGCTGACTCGTTTGAAGGTCAGGGATCCAAGCAGACCCTCCTCACACTCAGGAAGGATCCAGTAAATCCTAAAACGTGTCTCAAACCTGCTTTTCAACCTGGACCTTCCTCTGCCTGTTTCTACACAAATCTGCCAACATTTCTGTCTTTCCCACGAACTCTGTTTATCCAGACAGAAGAAAGGAGAGGACCGTCACACCGGTTACCTGTTCCAAGGCAAGTACAGGCAGGCAGCGATCCCTGAGCTTCCTGGAAATCTTCAGGACAAAACCACAAACATTCTTCCCTTTTTCTGCTTTTCCTCCGTCTCTTCTCATCTGGGGTCACTTTGATTCCAGAGCTGCTTTAAATCCTCCACCAGCTGACCCAGATCTGTGTCCTTATTGAATCCCCCCTCTCCGACTCTTTGTTTCACACACCTGAAGGAAGACCCAAGTCCGGCCCCCTCATGGCTGCATCATGTGGACACACCCATTACACACACAAACACACACACACTTAAACACACATTCCAGCAGAGATAACAGTATGTTGCTGTTGATAATTCTTGTCTATTCCATTCACACATGTAAAAACTCTGCGTAAAAGCCAGTTTTCACACAATCATTCATTCATCAAGACACACACACACACACACACACACGCACACAGTAACAGACAAAGCCCTGAAGCTATTTCCAGAACAATACCCCCTCTCTTTCGGTCTCCCCTCCGCTCTCCTGCCCTCTTTCCCGTGCAGATGACCTTCCCATGCAGATAAACCAGTTCCACTGTGTTTCCACTTTAATCCAACACGACTCCTTAAACGCACCAGATGCCTTCAGGGCCTCGTGCTTTAGTTTAATTTCAGAGGCGCTGCTCGAGCAGTGAGTGGAGTAAAAGTCTTGTAACGAGAGGTAATAAATGTTCCGATGAACCAGGAAGTGAGATGTTTGTTTTAGGCGGCCTTTACAGGGTGAAGTCAGCCTGCAGCTGTGGGCGAGCCTGTTAGCATGAAAGCTAGCAAGAAATTATTTATCCAGGGAACAAAGAGAAAACTATTTGTTTTAATGAAGATTTTATTCCTAAACAACCCCAGAATTAAGCTCTAAGTTCAGCCCGATAGTTTTGTTGCTAATAAGGATTTACAAAAGATAGAAATGATCTGGATCTGTTTACTTCGGCACTTTTTATTGGCAAAGCCTTAAAGAAGCTAACACAGCAGCTGCAACACTTCAGTAAGATTCATCATATTTGTTTGAACAGAAGACAAAGAAGAGGAAGACCCTCGCTCAGACGTGGGTCATTGTGGCCCCGCCCCCATCCTGGAGCCAGACCTGGGGGGAGGAGCTTGTCAGCTACCACCTAATGAATGGGCCTTTACCCACCAGGCCCGGTCGGGCTCAGTCTGAATGAGATATGTGGGTTTGCCCTGCTGTGAATCCACCACTACTAGACCACCAGGAGGGGGGTGAAAACGGGTCGGGTACATGGTGCTAAGGGTGGCAGCCTTAGTGCTCCAACCCTGGCTCAGGCTAATCCCAAACTCAATAAACTCTGAGTGGTAAATATTTGGGGCAGGTTTGGACAAAGCTGACCTTAAAGAGGAGCTGTGAGAGCTCAGATCAAATTCTCTAAATGCAAATGGAAGTATTGACCTGTTTGTTTTCTGAAGTTTAGAGTTCAAATAATGAATTAAAACGCTTCTAAAAGTGGAAGATTGATCTTAAAGGTGACATATCCTGCAAAATCCACTTGTTTTAACTGTTAAATACACTTGGAACCTCTAGGAGGCAGAAAAGTTTAATTTAATCCCTCCTGGTGCTGCAGCGATCTCTTTATATTCTGTTTGGGTCAAAAATTTCAAACTGTTCAGTTTTCTCTATTTTCTATGATGTTTTCTGAACTTTTACATCAAATCATTTGTGACACAACTTCTAAATGAGGTCTGAACTTGCCAAATTGGTGGTCTCGATTCTCCTCTGGTTCTGGGTCAGACTCTGGGTCCAACATGTGTGGCTGGACGGACAAGTCTTCCCTTAATTAATTAATAAAAATGTTTCTGTGCAGCTAGCCGTAAACCCCTCTATCAAACTATGGACCGGTCTGGAGGGGGCCAGATGTGAAGCATCTCATTTGGATTTAAAGTGTAACTTACCCCAAAATTAACTTTTTTTAGCTGATAAACTGTCTAGAATGTGTCTAAAATGTCATATAGTACAGTTTCTGTGCAAATTTTGATGTCTTTGTGTGTATTTGTTCAAATCTGTAATATTTGGTCTAAAATAGTCTCTTTGCTGCATAATGTGGGTTGAGCAGTGGAGGCAGCGTCAAAACCCCGCTCCTTTTCTCAAACACACTCCAGAAAAGGGGAGGAGCCTGTGGAGCTACAATAAAAAGAAATTTAGTCCAAATCATTGCAGCTCCACTTTATAAGGATTTAAATTTGTAAAAAAAAATGGAATTTGCTTGTTTTGCTAACGCTCATTGAAAACAATAGAAACACAATAATAACAACAACAACAACAACAAAAACAACAACAATAATAATAATAATAATAATAATAATAATAATAATAATAATAAATTTTATTTAAAAAGCGCCTTTCAGGACACCCAAGGACACTTACAGCATTAGACACATCATGGAAGAATGTGTGAAAATACAGTTAAGAGACAAGCAGGTATGAGTTACACAAATTAAGTTAATATGGATAAGCTAACCTAGAGAGATGTGGGACCTGGTGGCTTCCAGGTAAATGAGACAGAGAAATGTGTTCTTTCATTTTTCTAAACAAAGATGAGCTGGAGAAACTAAATGAGCATGTTTATCTCTGATTTATAAACCAATATATATTAACATGCTGTTTATAAAAAGGTAATGCTTGTTTCATAGACATTCTGTTGTATTTTGTTAAAGTCACACACACACAAAGCATTTGCTCACTTTCCTTTTCTAAATGTTGCAGCAGTTTTTTTTTTCTAAAAGCAGACAGAATCTGGGTCAGATAAACCAGAGACTTGTTTCTGTGTCAGAGCTGTTGGTTGTGTGTTTTGAGTTCAGCTGCCTCAAACAGTTGCTGGATAAAAACCATAATTACAGGCCACCACGGAGAAAAACACGGACTGGTTGGACGGTTTTAGAAGCGCAGATTTTAATTTTGGAATTTCTACAGTCATCAAATCCCGTGTGGATCCCCCCTCACCACATTTTGTAAATAAAAAAGCTCAGTCCTGCTCGTGTTATTTCTCCGAGCCCTACTTTTTCTTAAAGTGGCCCCGCCCACCACGGTTCCATACAGGAAGTACATAATAGGTGGAAACAAACACAGGAAGCAGGACATGCTGCCACAATGTGAAGCTATTTTTCTTCCCCTCTCCTTCCATCACAAGCTGCAGGCTGAGGTAAGGGCAGGTTGAAACACCCAACAGGAAGAACTAACTCAATGTTAAACAACACATAAACTCAAAAATATAGTCTGTTTCCTAATTTGTCTATAAATATAATCCCTTCCTCTGACTCTCAGATTAAAACTGAGGGTCATAAACTCTTTTTCTGAAGTTTTACTTAAACGTAACAATTGTTGTTTGGAGGCTCTGCAAACCCAACCTCTTCCTTCCTTTCTTTCTTTTATTCTGCTCCTCAGATCACGCTTTTATCTGCGTGCTCCCCTGGTGCACATTATTTACTCCTTTTCAAGGAAAACTGTAACTTTCAAGGCAAAGTTCTGATCTTCAGGCCAGAAAACACAAAGATGTCTCATCAGTCTGACATGTTCTTGGTTCAGAGGGGGAATGAGCTAACTGAAAACCCTTAAAGGTTTTTTTTTTAGTATCAACATAGACACTTTACAGTTTGAGACATGACGGAGGCACAGCTCAGATAAATAACAGTAAAAAAACATCTGCCTCTAATCCTTGATACATGTCCTCGGACATTAAATCATCCTGACCAAAAATAAAAACGTTCCTGAGATCTTTCAACAAGATTTTTACTTCACTTACATTCAGCCTCACGGATGATTTGAAGTGAAATAACTAATACACTTTAAAAATAATATAAAAAATCATCATAATCATGTGTTTAACATGCTGAGACAGCATTATTTATTACACAGATAATGTGAAATATTCTCTCATTATTAAAGTTGGAAAATCTCATTACAAAAGTGAAGCCATAAAATCTCATTTATACGGCTGCCATGTTGTATTTGTGCTTCCTCTTCACCTGTCCACCTGATTACCTGTTCATCTGATGTCCTGATCACCTGCACAATCATCTTTGCCTTTAAGCATCAAATGAATAATTACAGCTAGTGGATTAGAAAAAATTATATTTAAACAAACAGGAACAACACAAGACAGGGCTATTCAACTGGAGACCCACGGGCCACATCCGGCCTGCAAGTGACCAAAGTTCGGCCCGCCAATTGCTTTATGTGTCTCTTAAGCCCAAACCCCTGGTTTTCTACTTTTATTACTAGAAGTTCTTTTAGTTAAACATAGATGTATGTGGTGTCTACAGAAAAGTCAGAGTCTTGGCTACAATCTGAAAAAAAGCATTTCTATGAACATCCAAGACATTTATAACTAGAAGCAGATGAATATAAAACTATCAAAGTGAAAATAAAATTGGTTTAAACTTTGACAAGTCAGAGATGTCAAAATATTGTGTTAAACAGGAGGCAGAATGTGTTCTTTTTGTTTTTGATATTGTTTTATTATCACTACTTTTATTATTTCAAAGGTAACAAATCTTTGTAACACTTGGTTTATTTACATAATGACTTTAATTGCTGGATCCATCAGCTGTTGCTCTGCAATAACTGCAGCCCTCAGAGTAATTTAGTTGAATTGCCCTGCTGTAAGAACTACATTCAACCATCTGAGGGGTATTAAACCCATCTATAAACCCAAATATAATCTGGCCTGAGGAGTATGATTAGCCCAGGGTAATACCCCTCATACCAAATGTTTAGAGGTTTAAGATATAAGTTGGTAGTTTTTTTTTTCATTTAAATGACCTATTTAAAGTCGAATAAAATGTTAAAAATTAAGCATTTTTTGTCTCTATGGAGGGTATAATCTGGTCTGAGGGGTATAAATTGACCTAGAGCTTAGGGTGCCCTGGGTATAATCTAGGTGTAGTCTGGACTAGGGGAGTCTGAGGTCTATCCAGGTCCACTCACTCAAAGAACACCTGACACACCTGAGACAAAGAGTCAAACTAAAACCAGTTAAAATCTCCTGTTAACCCAAGAAGAAAACTGGAAAACTCAAACTGTGCACGCTAAAATAAGTTTTTTTTTTAAACTGTTGGACGTCTGGTCTTCTTTTCTTCATAAAGACTTGATCAAACTTGTTCCAGTAGAACCTGGAACCTAAAACAGTCACTTTTACCACCGTTCACTACCTTCATGCTAAATCCACGAGTGGTTTATGACAACAAACACAGCCTGAATGCTGTTAGAAAGAATTAACCAAACACAAAAATCTCTTATTTCTTAGTTCTAGACCTAAAGTCTGTGTTTTTCCTCTGGTAGAAGCAGAAAACACTTCATCAAACAACTCAGGAATGTAAAGAACATTATCAGCAGCTCTTATCTAAAACTCTGTGGAGCGGAGCAGGAAAAAATACATTTTTTTCATCTTAAACTTTCGTGGTCCGCTTGAGGCTTTCAGTCGTGACTCAGATGTTCTGGTTTCCCTCATCACCGAGCGAGTTACAGGTCTGTATTGGATTCCACTTACTGAGTGTCCTTGGGGACGGAGTCTGATAGCGGATAGTGTTTATAGTGAGAACAGGTGCACGCCGCATCGAGCAGCCAAACCACTGCATGTATTATTTACTGCCATGAGCTCAGAGGAGGTCCGATCGCCCTCAAACAGGCTGGAGCTGCTTAGTTTACACTGCCCAGTTGCTCAACCCTGATGCTCATTAGATTATTGTCATTTAGAAAAGAAAGTTTGGTCAGGTTTTAATTTTTTTTACGGCTGTTAATGAAAGTTTGGGAAAATAGAAAATAAAGTGAGTGAAGCTCACAGCGCCAGCATCAGTTCAGCCTCGACAAACCTCAATAACAAGCCACTAAACATTAACCTAAGAGGAGGATTGTGGGAATCCAGCTACACTTGAACCTCCTAACCTCCATGATTTCCATCAGCTTCAGTCCAGAACACAAACCCTGAGCTGCCTGAACGCAGAGAAGCTAAAAACCATCAGCTGGCTGCTGCTGTCAGCAGACACAGCTCATCGTTTTCAAACATTTGTTAATGAAGCAGCTGAGCTAACAGATTCAGGTTTGCACGTATCAAAACTCAAAGAACTGGATGTCCGGAAACTCACATAAACTCACATAAACTCTTCCCTTTTCTATGGGCCAAGTGTAAAATGAAATGTTTAAAAAAATTCACAAACATGTTCTTACATTTAGCTAATTTTTACTAAATGTTAAATTTAAATGTTAAAAAGTATATTTAAATGTTAAATCCTAAATCTAAATGTTTAAATCTAAATGTAAAAGTTAAACCTTTAGTTCGCATTTACTGTAGGTATTTTGGAATGGAATGCAGCCTTTGCCGTTGGTGCTTAGGCTCATGTTATGATGTCATCATCATGCGACAATAGCAACCGCTAACTCCAAATGCAGCTAAAGCTTCACTACAAGACATCAAATTTGCAGTTCTGGCTGGTGTCTGAGCTGCACTTCAAACTGCTGGACCACAAGGACCACCTATGTTGTTTTTATAAACACATCATTTTGAATTTAGATTTTAAATATTATCTTTAGCAGTGTTAGCTGTGGCTAGCAGCGGCCATTGTTGATGTTTGTCGTAGGATGATGACATCCTGGTTATCTGACGCTAACTTCTGCTAACGCTTCTAACACTTTAAGTTAGAGTTTAAGAAGTTTAAGAACTTTAAGGTTCAACTTTTACATTTAGATTTAAACATTTAGATCTAGGATTTAATATTTAAATACAGTTTTTAACATTTAAATTTAAAATTTAGTAAAAATTAGCTAAATGTAAGAACATTGAGCTAAATAATGAAAAATATTTTAGAGGCTCTCCAGACTTTTGGTATGTTGTCTTATCTTAATCACGCTGCCTTTATTACCTCTGGGTTTTACCACATGTGCTGTTTATTCAACAGAGTGGCAGCTGAAGGCAGCTCAGATGGTTTCATGTGACACTGTGAGCTCACCAGTGCTCACCACGCTGCCGGCTGTGAGGCAGCAGGGCAGCTCAAACAAACGCTGCTTTTATTGTGTTAAACTCAGAGGATGGATGACGTGGGAAGCTGTCAGAACACAAACACTCACCTGGGATGTTTCCAGATTATCGCTGACCCCCCTCCTCCCCGACTGACCGATGGGGGCTCCTTTGTCAGGTGATAAGGGTCTGTATCCGACGAGGGGAACATTGCTGGACTCCACCCCCGGCAGGTCGTAGCCACCTGTTCTCAGGTTACGGTGGAGCATGGTGCCAGCTGCAAACAGGAAGGAGAAATAAAACTAAAAAATGTTTCTCGGCCTCTCAGACCAGCGTTTAGCACAATGTCTCAGCTGGGTGTTGCAATTAAAAACTTCCAGAACAATAATTCTCTTTAACTTTGGTTCTGAGAACACATTTTCAGTGAGTTCCTGCAGAAACCAGGAACAACGGATCAGTCCAGGTCTTTCAATCTTTTATTTCACAGTGATCTGCTTCCTGTTTCATGATCAAAACAAGGCAGATGTTTGACATGTTTGTTTGTTTTTAGCATCTTTACCTTCAAAGTTAGCTAATCATTAACCTGAACATCTGCACAGAAAGATGCAAACCTGTGTTTATGTGATGGGATTATTGTGACAGGAGCCGATAAAAGAACCAAATACCTGCCATCATGACAACAATAAGACCTTTGTTTTCTCCTTATTGTTATTTTCATTAAAAAATTATGGTTTTATTTTTTCATTTTAAGGTGTTAATCAGTAACTTACAGAACAATTTATATGTTTAAAAAGATGATAAAAGTTTATTGAAAAAAGTAGTATGTATCAATATAAACTATTG